TGACCATTTTAATTTAAAAAGTACCTATAAACATATATGCTATATGCATATTGCAACAATATTATTATGTAGTATAATAAATATAGTTACAGGCTGACACGGAGCTAATAATTAGTAAAAAAGGCTGTTTTTATTTTAATCTAAAGGCGATTAATATTAAATATAATAAGTTCAGTATTTTAATATACACAAATGTATTAATGTTATTAAACAATTTTAACTTTATGAAATTTGATAAAAATCACACTAATGGAAAAAAAGGTGTTTTATATTTTTATATACTACTTCAATACTTTCCGATGGATAAAAAAAAATATTTTCATGAAAATACTATAAAACATTTATAATACTATTAGCATAACTATTGAAGTAAAAACAAAATTAATTTTCAATTTACATTAAATTCAACAATTTTACTCAATTAATAGTGAAATTATTTTAACTACTACGGTATTATATATTTTCATTTTCAAATAAGTGCCAGATACCAAGACAGCAGTGAAAGATATCCATGGGAGAGTTTAAATATTATAAATTCATAACGGTTTAGTTATGCTGATCCTGTGACTAACCTAGTTTCTAAACCTCAATGTAAATATTCACTCCATTTAGAAATAATTTTAATTTATAAAGTATTATGATAGAAAATAATGTGCATTCAAAACTTAAATTCTTAACTTTGATGTTAGGTAGAGTGATATACTAACACTGAAAAGAGTTGAAATAGTTGAATCGCATGAAAATAATTTAAGTTTGAAAGTTCAACATTTTTTTGTTTATTATATTATATTTAGGTTCAATACTCACAAGTAAAACAAATAAAAAAACATGTAGTTTAAATACTCAACCAGACGCATTCTACTGGAATTCTTAAAGACCTTTAATATTTCTTTTCTCTTGAAAGATGGACGACGCAATCACTAATATTACTTATTAAGTTCTACCGTAGTACCCTGGCATTTTATTATGTACTCAGTATCTACATAAACAACGTCTTATTTCATTATTTTTTTTGTAATACGACTTTGGACTTGGTATTGAAAAATTAAATACTAAACACACAGTTGTTACAAAATATACACTATTATTACATTTTACGCTGCACAATATTAATAATTTAAGACATAATTTAGTATAATATGTTTGAATACGATTTCCGTTTTTTTAATTGTTGAGTTTCTTTATAAATATTACCGCAAAGCTGAAAATGAATTTTCTGGATAAAAATTCTGATGCACCCATAGGCTTTCTTTAATATTATTTATAATATAATTTGATCTTTGTCTTTTATAACATCGTAATAATATTTTTGATAATATCTGATAAGATAATGTTTCACTTTTCAGTATTTGCTAAGACGTAATAAAAGATAAACAATTTGTACATTTTTTGTATAAATTCTACGCTATAACTATAAATAATTATTATTGCATTTTAAAAATGATTGATTTTATCAAACGCATTAAAAATTAAAAACCATATTATATGAGACACAAAACAAATATAAATCTTTTTAGAGATTAATTATAAATAACAAAAAGTAAAGATTAAAATCGTATTTTCCATGATGTTATATTTATTTTATGAATAAAATTGTATGCAGTGAATTTCGATAAATAATGAGTTTGTAATCATTTAAGATTCTGAGTAGAGATATGAATGTACTGATTGTATACAATAAATAATTATTTGTGTTTATTTGTGCTGGTGGACACGAAAAAAGAATAAATTGATTTCGATTTTCAACTTTGATTATGATTTCTGAAAATTGGATCTAGTTAAAGAAAATTATAATTTTAATGCAACAATAGATTTCGTCAAAATATATTTTTTGGTATAGCTCAAAAATGAATAACCGTAGTTACATGACATTTTTACTAAATGTTTATACTATCTATCATTTTATGTACATGATTATAAATTCAAAATATTTTAACAAATGTTGAACAACCTTTAGGCATTTGAAATATGAAATTGTTATTAGTTTTTTTCTAATATACCGCGAAGAAGATGTTTATTGGGTCAAAAAGCTTGATAATTTAATATAAGGTTCTTCGTGAGTTAAGTTATTAGTTATTGCCAATATTTACGATTTTATTTTAATCAAATAAAAATTTTTTTTTTAGTATGTATAGGTATTTAAAAATAATTTTTGTTGAATTATATTTTCGGAGTACTTTATAATTACATAATATTGTTTGCAAAAAACAAAAAAAATGGGATTAAAACAATAGCTTAAAAGCTTATTCACGTTACATTGAACTTTAAATCAGTTTTATAATAATATCAGCACATAATAAAACAAATTGTTTTTTTGACCTTTAGAAATTTTTGAATTTTGTTTATAAGATCATGGCACACACAACTATTTTTATTATTTGCACTTGTGTATAAATAATTTTTAGAATGACACACGCTAACTATTAATTCATAAAAAAAAATTAAAAATTGTAAATACATTGGTTCTGATGAATTATCAAGGACTGTTTGATGTATTACAGAGATTAAAGCTGTTCGCTTTTATCCTTTATGGTTACTCTTTAGCCGTACTATGGACTTTAAAATGTTTCATCCACACTAAAGATCAGTCACCGTTGTGTTCATGGTTTGGGATTTAGGTAGCAATAAGACTTGTGTCATGAATTATGGACCTGTTTTGGTTTTAATCCATACACGTAATCAGAAAATATTCACTAGGTGGGCCAATGTTTGACGGTATTTGATTAAAATTAAAAGCCACCGTATAATAATGGGCCCCTGTGAACACCGTAGGGGTGCCGGCCTGCGGACGGACACATATTAGGGTGGGCCAGGCACACTCTGGTCCCCTTAGCTACGTGCCTGAGCTGTTAGTGACCAGGTTGTTATTCATCGGGGAAAGCTATTATCACCAATTGCTCTTTTCGTTATTTGTAAATAGAACAAATAAAGTTGTCCCTAATTTTAAACTGTTCGTGGTTTTTTTAGCTTTTACAAAATCGACCGAAATTAAAAATAATAAAATATGTGATAAGATGTAATGCACGATTATTATAATATTATTATACTATAATTGTATTTTCATTAAATTTAATGTTTTTGGTTTTACTAGATCATATAATTTTTTGCCACATATTAAATAAGTAGATAGTATTTTACACAGATAAGAGAAAAACCACTCACAAAAATCGAATTATATAATATTATTTGTTCAATAAATTCCAGGAGTAAATACTATCCAGTTCAGCTTTGCCTTTTTAGCTGATAGTCGATTTGATATTTACGTCTAATCTAGTATTCCTAAAAGATTTGATTCTTTGAATATATTTATACTCACTCTTAGATCTCACAAGTTAACTTCAAAGTTCATTCTCATTCACCAAAGTACTAAGTTCCTTTTGTTATTACCACCCTTAGCAGTAGCACTATAATTACGGAAGGAAAAATTTTACTGACCGTATTGTGAGTCTGGAAGTCGAGCACCCCACGTATTTCAATGATTATCAGTATTGAATACTCATGAACTTTGTCAGTTATTAACTTTGATATACCTGTATAATTTCAGTAGGTTCTTGATAACTCGAACCTTGAGAACTCAAAATTTTTTCTTACTCATTGAAGTAACTTAAAGTTATGTATGTGATATACAACTCACAGAATACATATTATGTTGAAATTATTTTTATTTCCATGGATACTAAAGTTAAGACTTGACTTGATTCTTTTATTTGTGTCTACACCTAAATGGGCATATGTTTATTCATAGTAATTTCACTATAGTTATTAGTTAAGTTCATAATTTCTTCGTATTTTAAATTCAAACATTACATAGTTTGACTATACATCGCCAATATTTGACATCTTTATTCTCTATTTATCGAATCCTAAATTGTTTTACTACAGTTTCACATCGTTAAGTATACAGCCAGTAAAAAATATTTAAAGACGAAAACGTAAATGATGGATTTTCGCTCATACTTTTATTCGCTCTTTTTCATTCACGCATTTAAGTTAGCTATTTTTCTTTTGCTCGACTGTCAGGATACCATACCAAATAATTTATAAATATTATGCAAGTAATTATATAATTAATGAATATTTGTATGCGAACATACTATGACATATTAAAAGTAATATTTTTTTACATCGGCTGCTCACAGACTTACATGGTTTCGGTTTTCCGAGAGTTTATTCTAATATTTTCTAAATCCTAATAGTTGAGCTGTATTGAAACGCTTCCAATATATACTAAGATCAAACCGGAATATGGATTAGGTACATAAAACGTATTTATTAGAAAATTGTTTTATACATAAAAGCTATTCTACAAACTTACAATACTTGGAACACATACATAATAAAGAAATATTCATCGCAAAAACATAAATAGAGAATATTCGTCGTCTATGTGGAAATATTTAAGTTTGAAAAACAATTGTGAAAAATATTATGTAAGTTACCTATGGGCAACTAATAATATTATTTGAAATTTGATTAAAATGATTCTAAACATCTTCCACAAGTCATCTCGGCCCACGGCTGACGTCACAGGTAATGCTGATAATATGTTGGTTACACAGTATATTTATAAAATAATGTAGCCTGCACTCACAACGATATAATATGATAATAATCAATTCTTAGTCATTAATACCTAATTATATAGAACATAACAGAAGTGACAGTTACCAAAATCCCATTGTTCACTGGAAAATATTTCAGTTGACCTTGAATTCATTATTCCTGAGGTTCGGCAAGATGTTGTAATCGTATCGTCATTTAAAATTGGCAACAAGTTCCAACATTATGACGAACCCAGGGACGGATCCATTGATTGAGGACCTAAAGGCCCAGCCCCACTACCCAGACATATTGTTTCCCAAATTATTTAATAATTCTACAGATCCTGGTATTACGATCTGAGGAGTGGGAGACCGCTGATTTTGACTGACGATATTGTGAAAAAAGTCGAGAATGCGGTCCGAGACGATCGCAGATTGACTTTGGCTAAAATTTCTGCAATGTTTCCGCAACTGTCGAGATCTCTGCTCCACGAAACAATCACAGAAAAACTTTTATTTCATAAGCTGTGCGCAAGATGGGTCCAAAAACAGCTTACTGAACAACACATGTTGAATCGAGTGCAAGCCTCCAGAGAGTTTTCGGAACGCTATGAACTAGACAGTGATAATTTTCTCAAGTCTATTGTTACTGGAGATGAAACTTGGGTTGCAAACTATACACCTGAAACCAAGAGACAGTCCGAACAGTGGCGTCACACCACTTCACCCTCAACCAAAAAGTACCAAACCACCGTTTCAGCCACAAACATCATGGCTCAGTGTTTTAGGACCACAGAGGCATCATTTTGATTGACCTCAGGGGTAAACCATCAACGCAGCAAGGTATTCTGAGACTCTAAAACAATTGAGGAGAGCTATTCAAAATAAAAAAAAGGGTCTGTTAACAAGCGGAGTCTGCCTGCTGCACGACAAGACTCCACACGGCCAATGTCACGAAGCAATTGTTGGACTCATTTGGATTGGATGTTTTGAAAAACCCCCGTTCCCCCGACCTGGCTCCTTCATATTACCATTTGTTCATTTCCCTGAAAAAGCACATGGGTGGAAAAAAATTTTCAACTGACGAGGAAGTACCGTGTGGTACCCCGATCGACAAGTGGACAAAGAGGTGGTGGCAGAGTTCTACGGGGCAGGCATAAAAAAATTAATCAGCGGTCTCACAACCTGCATTGAAAGAAATGGTGACTATGTAGAAAAATTGCACACAAATATATTAATATAACCACGTAATTTTTTTTGTAAATTTTTTTGAAGCCTACCAAAATTGAGTACACTTACTTTCTGGACACGCCTCGTACTATATTTCAAATTACATGTATGTCTGATGATATAGTATATTATTATACGTATCATTCTGGGGTGCAACAACTAAGATAGTACTAACTTAGTTCGTATTAGACAGTGATTCCAATATTGTAATTGTACATTAACAAAAAATGTAACCTCCCCCAGATCTTTGCTCTGGATCCGTACCTAGATGAACCTATTGCAAAATATCAACAAATTGATCAGCTGTTCGATAGTCAGCTTCTATGATGTAGTATGTTAATAATTAGTGTCAATGATAATAAAGATCATGATGAAATAACTAATACGTTTAATCTTAATTCGTCATGATAAATATCTTCGAAGTTTGATGTTCAATAGTACAATATTTAGTCATATTATTTCATATTAACATTTAACATTAAAGTTGGTATTGTATTAAAAATTAAAATTTTTCTATAAAATATATTTACGGACACCTGATTCTGTGAAATCGTAACGGTCGTTGATGGCCAAGATGAACACCAGCACAAGTTATAAAAACTAAAAAGCCCTAGCAGAACACAAATTATATACTATGTATGAAAATATTTAATTTAACAAATATATATATTATATAACCAATTATGATTTACGTCTAACTATTTATTTACCGTCTATCTAATTGGTATAAGTAAGGGTTATACTTTCATTCAATTTATTAGATATGGTTGTGTGCAAATGGATGACGGTACAGTATGCAAAATATTATGTATATTATGAAGTGCACCTTCGAAGTCTGGGAAATTCATTAAAGTCGTTGCATGTTGGTCGGCTAGGTTATCTAGTTTATCGGAACTGCACTAGGAGCTAAATGCATATTATTCGTTTATTAACCTAAGTAAGCTCTTGCTAAGTATTTGTAAAAGCTCCATTGGAATATTTATCCATATTTCGCATACCATTATGGCGGACGACCCGAATATATTTCTCTTGCAGGCATACCTAACGTAACCCGAACCAGGGTCGACAGGACGTCGTGGACATTGGTCTTCGAAACTATATCATGTACCCACAGGTATTCTGACTTTATTGCACTGGGTATAGGCACATATCGTAATAATAAAATTATTATGTACACATCTGGCCGATTGAACACAAAATTACACAAGCCACGGGCTGAACCGGGAAAACGCGGCCTTCTCTCTCTCTCTCGGGATGCTCGCATGGGGTTTATGTGCATCGGCCGAGTATTATGTATTATCATTCGGCGTAGGTGCTGGGGGTGTGACCTTTTAATCTACAAAAGGTATACAGTTTTGGGATGCGATTTTATCGTATATGGGTATTACGACGGTTTAATTCCGTAATGGTCTCATTTTGCAGCGGTATGCCCCCATATACGCATGTATGTATGTATGTACATATTATAATGTAGTAGGTATATATATAATATATATGTATTTATATATAGACACTCACTGTCTATTATGCAGGGTACATTATAATAATATTAAAACGGAGGTATTCAAAATATTTTCCGAAAACTGGCTTGAAACTATTATAATACATTAATGTCGATTGACAGCTGCTGTTAATAATATTATGAGCTCAAATCATTTTCCGTATCATTTGTTTCCTAGTTTAATTAGATCACAAAGTGTCGAACAATAGAACCTACACACGCGTAATCAGAAATTGTAATGGACGGTTTTGTGTTTAAGTCCGTTTCATAAACAATTTTAAAATATATTTAATTTTTTTTCAACTCGTTGTATAGTTGTTTTTTTAGATTCTAAGAGGAGCGATGAATGTATTGATTTTACAATGATTTGTGTGCTTATATATATATTTATATATTTTTTTGTGTCTGTCATCACGGTTTCTTGCGGTAAAAGTGTTTCGATTTTCTTAAATAGCATCGTAAATGGTAGGAAAGTGAATGTAGTTGGTGCATTCAGGAGGTAAAAATTTAAAATTTTCAATAGTTTTCAAAAGCAACAGAAAAAACAAACAAAAATTTAAGGAAAAACCGGAGTTTTTAAGCAAAACCATTTTTCGAAAAAATCGATTTTGGTTTTTAGTGTAAATAACAAAAATAACCGTAAATACATGAAATGATCATTGAATATTCTATACACCATACATTTTTCAAAATATTTTCATTTGTGTTGAACTACTTATAGGCAAATGAATTTTTAGATTATTATTTGTTTTTTTTAAACTCAAGTCGATAAAAAAATTTTTGCTCGGTCAAAAAATATTTTATTATTATTACTTGAAAATGTAATACAAGGTCCCTTGTAAGCTTGTAAGCTATTGTTAATGGAAATTAAAAAAAAAAGTTGAGCGTAAATCCACAACAATTTTTTATGAGTATAATATTATTATAATTTTTGACAAATTCATAAAAATTATACATATTAGCAAATTATATTTGGTTAGAAATTCATAAAAAAGTTCTATTTATATCTAAAATTGTCTACCGGAAAGTTAAATTGAATTTTTATGCACGTTTAAAGTTGAAATTTTTACAACATTGGATATTCACTCGTTTTCTCTTGTATCGATTTTCTTATTTTGTTGTAATTCAAAAACAAATTACTATAGACACTTGAAATTTACACCAAATGATTATTTCATCAATTCATATACTTGATAACATTTTCAAAATATTCTGACTCATTTTATACTGTTGTCGGACATTTCTATTTCCCTTTTTTTACCTATAATTGTCAATAAAATTGTATTCGTTGAGTCAAAAAGCATGAAAATGTAATATAAGAATCTTGATGACTTGTTACAATAGCAATTGAAAAATATCTAAAATACATCGGAACTATTTCTTTTTATAAGCATTTAAAGTTCAAAATTTGAAAATATTGCATATTAACACGAAGAATAATGGTTATCATTGTGTTGTAATTCGGTTGCAAAACAGCCCAATTTTACATAGGTGTATTTAATATTTTTCCAGCATCACTGAAAATTTAAGAATAATATTAATTCAATTTACCGGCTACCATATTAATAATAAGTAATAACAATTTAAAATATCCTAAACTGACATACCGTTTCCCCTCAGAATCGTTTTTCGTATACAATGAGTTGATATATTAATTGAATTCAAATTTAATACCATCCATTACAGCGACCTCTTAGATACCTACTGTACAGCAGAGCGACATCCACTTACCCGCTTTTTTTTAATTAAAGTTCCTATAACAGTAAATAATAATTGATATATATACTAATATATCAAACCAACAATTTAAATTACAGGATTTATCAATGTAATTTATGATTTCAATATTGTAAATTAACATACGCGTAATACGGTTCAGAAATTTGCGTTACTGTAAATGATAAGTAAATAATTGTAATAGTTTTGCTCTTGTAATTTGTAAACCCTCAAACGCATAAAATGTCCAGTACTCGCGTCTACGCACATCTTATAAATTGGCATCCGTAGCAATGTACGTTAAGAATTTCTAATTTATTTTCGTCCGTTGTTCGTTCCATTATTTTATAAAGTTTGTTGTTTTGACTGTATTTCATAGTGAATAGTGTGTATTATGAGATGATGGCTATTAGATGGAAATTTCATAACGAACTCAACGTGATTATTGTCCTAAACACCAAGTCATTATTTGGAAAAGTGTTATTTAATTTATTTTATCAGATAATTTCACCAAACTTTAATAGTTTGAGTTAATGTAATTCAAAAGTTTTCCTATTATTTATCTCTCGATTATCAGTTTATTTAAATCATATTATACAAATATTACGACTATGTATACAATCCATCAATCTGTAGTTTGAAAAATGTTTTTTTATTTGTTTTATGTCATTCACTATTCATAAAATAAAATAAATAAAAAAATGAAGTTTTTCCATTAATAAAACCTCCACCAATACCTAATTTAACTTCAGCTCGATATGTTTCTTTTATTACACAGAATTAGTGATTTTAAAACGTGTACCAAGCAATGAAGCAAGTGGTTATATCACAGCAATTAGCCAGTTTATACACGTCGCAAAATTAAAAAAAGTCGTTCTCCTCTATTATTATTGTGGTGATTGTCATCGGAGATCGTTTTTTAAGCAATTATGATTATTGCCGTCATGAAAATATTTTTCATATAATATACCTATTCAATGTTATTAACTGTCGCCATAAGTAAAAACTTTTATATAATAATAAATTATATACATTATACACACATTAATATGTATATTATGCATCGACGATAGGTTACTTTTGATTGTTTACACACAATTTCATGACTCGCATTTATTATGCATACATTTTGATATCGATGGTCTTGTAGGAATTAGGAGGCTTTTAAGTTTTGAATAATATACGAATTACGAGGTAATTTACAAATATAAATACTAAAATGCATGTGGATTTTCCGCTTTATTTTTTATGGATTTCAGTAGCCCCCTTCATTTAAATGAGCGAGGAACGCTAGAAGCGGTTCCCCCTTTGAAATGTCAACTTTTGAACGATGTATTTGCATTATGCTTTATTTTATGTTTAG